CATCTACGCCCACCTCGAGGAGAACCTGGGTCTCCCGCCTAACACTTTAGCTGAACGCAGCGCCCTAAACAAGCAGTCTGACACTTTTGCGCGACTACTCGTCAATTGGCCTCAAACCAAGCACACTGGCTCTGAGAGCAGAGAGCCCCAGGTAACGCTAGGTGGTCACGCCGATATGGGCGCCCTGACTATGCTGTTCAATGTCTCTGGTGGGCTGCAGATTCTGCCAAAGGGGAAGGAGAATGTGAATGAGAACTGGGAGTATGTTCGTCCGAGACCGGGGTGTGCGCTGATTAATGTGGGTGATTCTTTGATGAAGTGGACGGGAGGTGTGCTGCATAGTGCTTTTCATCGTGTTGTGACGGCTCCTGGGGAGCAGGGAAGTGTGGCGCGCCAGAGCGTGGCGTTGCTTACGAGGCCGGATCGGTCTGTTACTATGCAAAGGATCAAGGGGAGTGCGTTGATTCCGCCATTAAAGGAGGGGGAGGTTGATGATGATCGGTCCGCGAGCGACTGGATAATCTGGAAGATTACAAAGGGGGAGTTGAGGGTGCAGACGGCGGAAGAGAAGCAGGTGGCTGCTACTGCTTGATTCTCTCGAGAGATAGCTTTGCTGTGTTAACCTCGACATTTCGGTCGAAGGCACGGCAGACTTTATATCGTGTAGTGGGGGTAGTAGATAATCTGAAGTCGTCTCAGCAGTAACAATGCCTTAATACTGAGACAATGATACCTCGTAAAAGGCCATAATTCATGGGAATTCGCGAACATCAATACAATGGAAACGCCTTCTTGCGCCAAACACCCACGCTCAAAATGCTATACCAATCATGATGCGCGCTTCATCAAACCACAGTTTGAACATGTCCACCATTCGGTTTCCATGAAGGCTCCACAGCTATCACATAACCATCCGAGAGGACGCTTGTTGGCGTCCCGCTCGAGGGCAGCTAATGATTCAACAGCACGAGTCCGGTTTTTGAACCCCGTGTACCTGCTCGACGGACTCATCGACCGCTTGTTCTTTTTCACTGCTGGTTTTGTCTGGCTCGAACTGGCTGTAGCAGTAGGAGGGCCCGAAACAGACCTAGTGGTCGTTGGTCGCGGACGTTCTGATGCACACGCATCACAGCAAAGAAAGTTCGCTGGATTTTCGAGCGTGCACGTCGGACATGACCACGGCTTATCGTACAGATTATCATCTGAGACGAGGTCAATAGTTTCTGCAGGCTGCGAAGGCCCTCTCGGCCTGCTGTTCTCCGGAACAGGGGGTGGAGACAACGTTGTCCGCGGACCGGCGGGATTATCATGACTCGGCGGAATGTAGGAGGGGCCATATCTCTCACGCTCTTCCTGTTCAATCAGATCAATATACGCTTCCATGATAGCACGCTCATTAGCATCGTCTTCCTCCGCCTTAGTTCGGAAACCATTCCTAGAGGCTTCCTCTGCAAGTTCGGCACTGTTGTCAGCGCCTGAGGCACAACCATTCGTCACTTCTATGCGCCTCTGCGCAGCATCCGCAATGACTCGGCGCATGTCAGTTCCGCGCAGGACAGGCGCACCACCAAGTCGTCGTCCAGATCCAGCGGATAGAGACCGTCTCTGTTCCGCAGCTGCTCTGGCTACACGGCGTGCTTCGTCGACAGGCATTTTCCGCCCTCCTAACCGTCGTCCTTCAGAAAGAAACCCTTCTCCTGTGTAGCCTTTCATGACAAGCTCTTCATGCTCATCCCGTAACTGGTTCCAAAGTGCATGAAACTGCTGATTATGCGGTCCATGCACAATATGACATAGCCTACAAATCATCGTCAACCATTGCTCTTCCTCAAGCAGAAAAGACAGAGGGACTACGTGGTAGAAGATAGAGTATCAACTTACTCATGAAGCATCGTATCCACTACCTGCTCGATAGGTAAGAACTGGCGCTGATCAGAAGGATACCGCAGCCGTAGACAGATCTTCTGACCCGCATTGACGTTCAACCCAAGCAAATTCCGCTGATGGGGATAGAATTCACAGAGCGTGCCGACCTTCCAGTCTCGTCGTCGCATTATGGGTTTCACCAGCGAAGCGACCTTCCGAAGAATCAACAACGCTTCCGATTCCCGTGGTCGTTGCTTTTCATGCTGGTATTCAAAAATGAGTGGATCTATTTCGCGCATGGTGGCGAATATACTGGAGGCACGGTTTCAAGACAACACTATGAAGGGGAGATGTTTAAAGATGATACTGAGGAACCCCGAGGGAAAATGACTCGATTTTTGAAGTAAAGAGGCGGAAACAGATCTAGATGCAGATGCTTGCTACCGCCTCCACCAGATATATTCCACGCTTGAACTGCGTCAGTGAGCGGAAAACGTGTCCCAACCGGATAGTAACACGCTAAGATGAATAAAAGGCATGACCCCAGGCGATAGAGGGGGTAATACAATGATGATGGTCAGGGGAAAGAATCATTTGGAAAGAAAGGAACTGAGTGCCACTCCGATTCGATTGCTAATCCAGGCATCCAGGCATCCAGGGACCGGAGTCACGTGGATACGTGCCTGAGGCTGGGATGGCCAATCGGGTGGTTACCCACTCAACGATTTTTATACTGATTTGACAAGAATTTTTGGTCCTCTTTTGATAGTAAGTACAATGTGAGGTGTAATTGGTGTATTTGGATGGTAGTGTTGCTAGGGTGTACTTGGAGTTGAGGAGCGTGTCTCCCGCTCTATATAGTTCACCGGTATAATCTATGATGGTTTCACATAGCATTAGCGATATTACAACATGTTATATGAATAAATTATTCCAAGGAGATATAACATGTAGCTGTTGCGGGGATATGTAAGTAGGTTGATTAATTTAATGTTCTTATATTTTAAAGTAAAGTATTGAATGAGACTGCATGGTGGCTCACCCGAAAAGTTCTCAATGTACGGTATAGTAGACAGTTCAAGATAGCTAAAAGAGGTGTCTAGGAAATACAGTGGCAAGAATTACTTGAAAGAAGGATGTATTAGTGACTACTTTGCATCATTCTCCCTGTTATGTCCTTACAATTGCTCCAACTTCCTCAACCACCGCCCTCATCTAGAACACCGGAGCGAGCAATGCTCCCCATGGAACCAAATCAGGATATCAAGCATGGCTATAGAATAATCCTAACGAGCATAACATGATAGGAGATTACTCTCTCGGTCCAGTCAAGCCCAAAGCAGGCCCTCCCAGATCTCATCACTTAGAACAGCTCTCCCCGACAACCACCCAGGCCCACAACATAAGTAACACTAAAGTGAGCAACAGTCCTGCAATCTGCTTCTCCTGACATTCACTACAATCTCTCTCTGCCGCTTTTCAGAACCATTTCTATCTTCTCCTGATCTTCTCTCCTGACCTTCTTTCTTCTCTCTCTTCAGAGCTCTTTCCTTTTCTTCATCCTCTCAACTGCGCACATTTTCAGACACACAGAACCTCCAAGCTCACCTACTAAAACCACCTCACAACAAGTTCAACTCAAAAGTAGAACAATGACTCGCTGGACTGACGAGAACAAGGCGACTGTATGTCACTTCCCCCACCCCTTGCCCAGTCACACATCCATACAATATTTACATACACAAACACAAACTAACAATTCCCCTCATCAGCTCCTCCGCCTCATCTTTGAGACTCAGAACTTCCAGATCGATCTCGACAAGATCGTCGATGCCTGGCGTAAGTATACAACCCACCCACCCACCCACCTGCACGCACACAATAACCCCAATCTCAACACTAACCACACCAACTCACAGCCGGAGATGACAAGCCCACCGGCAAAGCGCTCAGCGAACAGCTGGGCAAATACCGCAAGCCTGGCAGCTCCATAACCTTTAGATATACCAAAAGCAAGCGGGCTGCTCCTGATGGATCAGGATCTTCTGCGCCCAATACCCCTACCCCGAAGAGAAACCGAAAGATCAATGGAAAGGCTGGCAAGGTGAAGGCGGAAGTGCCGTCTTCTCCTGTCCCTGTGCCTAAGATCAAGGGCGAAATTGTGGAAGATGATAAGAAGTTTCTGGAGGCTTAAGAACGAAGATGAAATAGTCTAGAAGAGGGAAAGATAGAAAGGAGTACCGGCCGACGGGCAGATTAGCTTGGAGTTTATGGTTTTGTGCATAGGATCAGGGGACTGGTATTAGGGTTGGAGTTGAGGGGTTAGTATGGAGTTGGGTTATTTAGGTGCATAGGTCAGGTGAAATGGAGTTTAGGGAGTTGTGGCTCCTTTTCCCTGTTTAAATTGATGGCATTTGTAGCATGTTGATGATGCGTGTAGTAGTAGGATCAAATACGTAGGGCTCTATTTGTTTGTCAATACTTCGGTCATGACCAGCAAAATGAAGCATTTATCCTATCGGGTTTGTAGGTTAGTTTTTCGGTATTCATGTATCTCGACCAGTCTACTATATGCCCTAGTCCTTCAGGTCGAGCCAATGCTCGGAGGTATATCAGCGAATATATTTTCTACGAACATGGATCATCTTCGAAAATCTATGTCGTTGTGCACGAGATTGTGAAGGTCTTTCATCAACAGCAACGGGGGAAGAAACCGTATGATATACTACACTATGTGGTCTATCAGAATGGCCGCCTAAAATGTGCTGCGATGTCCCTGAAGACACAGCGTGATCGGCTTCGCAAGGTTGATTCCCGACCCGAAACGGGCGCCAATTACCGCAGCTCACGGGGTTTGGTGCGGATCCGGACGGGAAATGCCATTTATCCCGGGCTCTGCGTGGAGGGGGGCTCGACTGTTGCTTCGCAGTCGCTTGCAAAGTTCTTCTGCTATTCTTGAGATCAACGTAAACGGAGTCCAGGCCTGGAAACGCCTTGCAGTCGAATAACTTGGAACAACGCAAGGGAAAGATTATAATAGTAATGACTGCTGTATGAAGTGCCTGGATCTATGGTCGAATAAATCATTGAAGAAAACTCATCTATATTAAAAATACGTATATCGAGATAATCATTTAATCAAGCCCCTGGAACCACGGGTGATTTAAAGCCTCTGTGGCGCTGATGCGTGCTTCTGGACGTAGTTGCAACATGCGTTCCAGAAGGTTGACCCCCACAGGATCTAACGACGGTATAATTTGTTGCAGACTTTGTGGAGAGCGAGGCGGGAAGTCGTTTCTGTATTCGGGCAATTGACTGACGCCTGGCCAGGTGAGTTCGGTTGGTGTGCCCATAATATCGAAGATCTTCAGTAGTTGCTCTGCATTTGTTGTTCCAGCGAATAATGCAGAGCCTGTATACATCTCTGCCATGATACATCCGACGGACCAGATGTCTATGCTGGTGTTGTACGTGCGACTTCCAAGAAGCACGTCTGGGGGACGATACCAGAGAGTGACCACGTCAATCGAAAATGTGCTGATGGGTATACCGAACGCACGGCCCAGCCCAAAATCCGCAAGTTTTAGCCGCCCATTCTGGTTGAGTAGTAGGTTCTCGGGCTTCAGGTCTCGATGTAAGATTCCGTTCTCATGACAGAAAGAGACACCACACAGCAACTGGTAGACGAAAGACTTGGCCGTTGCGTTGTCAAGGGGGCTACTTTGAGTGTCAATGTAGCGCTTTAGATCCTGATCCATGTACTCAAAGACCAGCACCAATTTGTCCTCGACGTTTATCACATCGTGCAGGGTCAGGATGTTCTCATGTGTGAGGCGTCTCAGCAATGAGACTTCCCGGATAGCCGTTGAAGGAGCGCCTTCTTCAGCGTCGAGATTGATTTCTTTCAAGGCCACCAATTCGTTTGTCTCGCGATTGCGTCCTTTATAAACCTGGAATTAAGGTAGATACGCTGTCAGACACCACCAGTTGTACCTCTCGATCAGGAATCCAACGGATGGCTGAACGAACCGTTGCATATGTTCCCTGGCCCAGCTAACGTGATCATAATTAGCGACTAGGCTCACCAGAAACCCTCTATTTTCTCTTTCATCATTTCTCATCTAATAGGAACCACAAACCTTCTCCAGTTTCTTGAAGGAACCCTGATGAGAGGATGAAAACATAATCTGGGGAGTTGCGGGGTTGGTGAGTTCAAAGCTCGATAGCGGTACGGGTAGCAATCAAACTAACGAATGTGCTATATGCTTGGTCAATTTAAAAGTGCTGAGACATAGCATTGGCGATTTACCAAGATGGGTACTCGGCCCAGTTGGTAAGCAGGGGCTTTCCCTTGCTTTTATACCGAGGAAGCTCTAGCATGGATGCTAATGTGGAACGTGTATATTGCCAAATTGGACCATCGGTTCCCACCTCCTTCCCCTTTTCTGCGTGAACTTTTACGTAGCGTAAACGTGTTTATTCTTTTTTTCTTTTGTGTTGAGTTGTCCTTGGTGCGGATCAACCAGACGGCCACCTTACGAAAGCGAGAGACCGAGGGGCTTGCATGGGCAGGACAATATTGACATCACCAATCCGTACTCCCACCGATTAGCGGCTCATAGCAGGGCCAACTATCAGAAGAGGTAGTACTTGGCAGGGCGACTAGATCTGGCCCACGATAGGGTACCGAGCTAAGCGTCAAGCACTCAGGAGGGGCATCCAATTGTTCTCTCACCATACAGACACGCAGTCAGAACACTGTGGGCGATCTCTAGTCTGTGGTTGGCCATCCCGAACTTAAACGCAATTGGTTCGGCCGATGTAGACGGCGGCTAGATAAATAGGCTGAATGACTCGGCAGTGGCTGAGGCGCCCCGCAATCATTCGGTCTACATAGTAGGGATTGCACATCCTGGACAATGATCCACTCCGAAACATCGGTCAACTCTTCCGCACTGGAATTGCGGATTGGATTCACTACCTAAATAAAAAATAGTCAGACCCCAATATCCGGCGATCTGGTCAAGAGGCTTTCGAATGGCTATATGAGAACCTGGAAACGGGAATGTATCCCGTCTGGAAGTCACGAAGCGAAATTCCTATGCAGCTTTGAGGATAACCCACGACCCTTCAACCAGGAATGCCCGTGAGACAGTCGCAAGTGTCCGTGAGATCTACAACGGTGAGTAGCTTCCCCGTGAGCCCCTCCTTAACGGGCAGGAGTATATCGTGCCGCAATCTGAAGGCGGGAACTTTCAGGGTTTCTCGCTTTACCGAGACATGCAATCATAGCACGGTCTTGTCGGACTTGTCGGTTTCCAAGTATGCTTGATAATTCTTGTTTCATGTAGGCCGAAGGGGCACTCGGAAGCTCTTGTTAAGACGTATATACTTCAGACGAATTGTGGCTCAGTGTTCATGCGATTATCAACACTATCTCGGCACGGGGCAGACGTGCTCCGCACAAGGCGATAGCAATAAGGCTGAGGAGCCTAACTCTATCCCGCCAAGGACCATACAGCTGTCATATATCACACATTTTCTGGATGGTTGATCGATCATTGGGAACTGGTTATGACTTATGGTGAAGTGTTGACTGAGCGGACTATGCGTGCTGCCTCTGGATGGCAAACTAATAGGTCAGGCACGAAGAATCCTCCATTGCTTTACATACATGGAGTATGACTGAGCAGTGTCATTCCTCTGCGATCTGCGTTTTCTTGGCTGAATTAGCATAGTCTAAAACCTGGTGGGCCACTGCGAATACCTATTATAGTGAGCGGAAAATTTCTCTTCCACAAACTTGCCTCAGTACTCTTGGCTTTCGACACGAGACCTTCCTTCTGTGACATAGTATAGAAAGACACTTAGTTCAGGGACATGCAAGGTGGTCCCCTACTCCGTACAGCTGGTGGAACTGGTTGATGGCGCAGGAGGCCATGAGAATTGCGCGATAGATATAATGCTGCACATTACCAAGGCCACTTTCACAGAGTATAGAAGAAACCAACATGATATATGGAGGCAGAGCTCGTGTCCTGTACTATCTCACAGGCTATATATACTTTAACAACAGCTGCCTCCCAATTGCGCTTGGCAGCTCACTGTCACAAACTAATAGGCTAGGCCATTTGAGTTGAGCCAAAAACATCTTTGGAAGATACATTTATAGAGTATGCTGGACCATCCTCGCTGGGCAATACAGCAGGAATAATAATCGTTACTGTGATACAGAAGAGCAACTACATGGGTGTGTTGTCGGGTTGAACGCGACAGACGGTGCGCTTAACATACTGATAAGTATTATGGATTATGGAGTAAAAATTGAAAGGTATTTTCATCAAGTTGGCCGGATGGTGTAGTTGGTTATCACGTATCGTTAACACCGATAAGGTCCTGGGATCGAGCCCCAGTCTGGTCAAACTTTTTTCCTCCCCATCATTTTTGGTTTGACGGAGACACAGATAAAATGTTATATGCTAAATTAACAAATTACACAGTATCATCTTTATGATGGAAGGTTCTTGTTTGTATGATCACTATAAAATCCTCCGATTGTGCCTGTCTTTATTGGTTTCCTGATCATAGCTACTATAACATGCTTGGATGCTAAAATCACACCGGAATATCGTCAACCCATCGTGTATTCCCAGAGACGTCTGTGGGCTTCCTCACCCCGTATTAAGTTTGAATGATTTTAGATTCACAGACAGGTCGCTTGTTCCTCGGGCCGTTGTAGTCGTATGAATTGCTCTCATGTGTCCGGACTTCTCCAACACGACAATAAGATTGCAGGATACGGCCTATTATCTCACTAGGGCCCACTCGGTAGCTAGAGGCACCGGGGATTCTATATTTGCATTTACAATAAAGTGGACTTTTTTTGGATGCAAATCAATCGCAGTCTTATTATACCCTCTTGTCCCTGTGCCATTGACACGGGTCTTACAGGAGTCTCATGTCGGAGCCGGTCCTTTAACATAGGAGGTTTGGCTTTGGAAATGCTCTGGTATTTCAAATAGTTATGATATTACTAGTGTTGACAGCTTCTCATGCATTGTTACACTTGTTGTACTCGTTGATTTCATTCAGGATTTCTACTACTACTGAGTGGTTGCAGACAAATGATAGTAATATATAGTAGCCAGATCAATAACATATCGACACGGCTATCGTCGGTGTTCCCTCCCCATATTTCGGAACTTATGCACCTGTTCAGCACATGATGGAGATTGCTAGCAAGCCCTTCACGACCCATCACATGCTTGTTGCATACAGTGCAGCATTCACATCAACGGTGCAGCCGTATAGATCCGGTTGCTCCAATAGGGTGGAAAGGCTCATGTGACCCGCCCGCCGATAAGAATCGGATTCTTCATTGCCGACGAATCTTCTTCAACCTCTTTATCTCAGAAAGCTCGGGTTCCTGAGCAGACAGCATCATCATGACTAGTGACGACCAGTTTTTCTTCGACTACGTGAGTTGGTAGCATGCGCCCTCTGCTCGCCGCTTTCGTACTGACGCTTTCCTCTTCTCCAGCTTGCCTCGATACCGCATGACGTAAGGAGATATTCTCTCCAAGTCGCCGAGTCGATCGACCGACAAGTGGACCACGCAGCCAACGCACTCCGCGATACCCTCTCCAGCCAGTCATGGCTACCTACTTCCGTTCGGCCCGTATCCAGAAACCGACCCAGTCCGCCCATACCGCGAGGATTCGTTGATCGCGTGCACAGTTGGTTCTTGCGCAACCGGGCATGGAGTGCTGCCATCATCGCGTTCTTGGGCACCAGCTGTGTGTTGTATTATGGGAATAAGAAGCTGAACGGAAAGCGGCGGAGAGCCAGGCGAGCTGGAAATGGAGCCCGGAAGGAAATAGTGGGTATGGTTACTTCCTACTTGTCTTATACTTCGCAGTCTAATCTTTGGGACAGTCATCGCCGGGTCGCCCCATGAGCCGATGACCAGAGCGATCGCCGCCGATTTGGAACGTCGAGGATACATAGTCTACGTGACAGTCACATCCGCAGAGGAGGAACATATCGTGCAGTCGGAAAATCGAGCAGATATCAAAGCCCTCTGGCTGGATCTCTCAGCCGTAAGCGCCATCAATCGCCTCGCAGGGATCTAGCGCCAAACTGACAATATCGATTTGAACAGACACCCTCCTCACCTTCCGAAATACATCCCTCCCTAAATGAGATCTACTCCCTTATTTCTCGACCTCAGTCACCCATGGCCGGTGTGCCCCCTCACACCTGCCAACTAAGCGGCCTCATCCTCGTGCCCTCTCCGAACTACGCCTCCGGCCCCGTGGCTACAATCCCACCATCCTCCTGGATCGACACCGTCAACACCCGCCTTCTCTCCCCCATCCTTACGACCCAGCTCTTCCTCCCTCTCCTCACCCTTCGCAACTCCAACAGCACTATCGTCGTCGCCTACCCGTCTATTTCCTCATCCCTCTCCGCTCCCTTCACCGGACCCGAAGTCGCAACCACTCGCGCACTGTCAGGGTTCGCAACTTCCCTGCGCAGAGAACTCAGCCTCCTCCAACAGAACAACATCGACGTTGTGGAACTCAAGCTCGGTAACATCGACCTGGGTTCGCAGTATCGCAACGCCCAGAGCCACATCACCGGCACGGAAGTCCTTGCCTGGAGTGTGCAACAGCGGTCTCTATACGCCTCGCAGTATCTCAACAGCATCGAACAGCGACCAGCTGCATCCGCTGGGCCCAGCACGATCCGCGGCTCGCCAGCCCGGGCTCTACACTACGCTGTCCTGGACGCACTAGACCCCCCATCGAAGGACATCTTCGGTAGAAGGGTGGCCAAGAATTCGGTCATCTATGTCGGTCGGGGAGCACGGACGTACCACTTCATCGGCGAGTGGGTTCCTGCTGGACTCGTAGGCTGGATGCTGGGGTTGCGGACCGGACAGCAAACACCCTCGGAGAATGGGAGTGGGGGAAGTAGTGAGACGAGCTGGGAGAAGGTTTAATGGTTTAAGCATATTAATGATGGGGGTTCCTGATACGGAGTAGTGTTAAATGATATCATCTCATCTCTTCTTTCTTCTCTAACGCGTCACATTGACATTCCTTCTTGACTGCATCTCTTCTTATTCACAGTAAGTAGTTATATGAGGGATTTTGAATGAACTATATGTAATATATCTGTGGTTAAAGCTATACGCAACTGTATCTGTAATATACAGTAACCCAGTATTAATTAGTACAATTACCACTATACCCATCAATTCAGCTCAACCCACAGGATATCATATTAACCACAACACACCAGATTACATACCGCATCATCTCCTTCTCAACCACCCCATAAGCAATCAACCACAGGAAGACATAATTAAACACCTCACTTCTCCTCCCTGAACTCCTCAACCCCCACTTCCTCCTCAACATCACCACCCACCTCAGCACCCGCATAATCCCTATCATAAACAGACCTCTTCACCTTCCCGCCCGTAAATCTCCGCCTCAACCAGATGGCGCACCACGAGAACAAGAAAAAAACGATAATGATCGCCAAAATGGCGAAACAGTAACCCGCAACATGGCCACTCTTCTCGCCATGCGGACCGGGATCCAGGAACGAGTACGTGTAGAACCCTTCAGTGTGGTAGGTGAGATAGGCGAGGGAGACGTAGAGAAGGAGGATGAAGATCAGTACGGTGAGACTGAGGAATGGGTGCGGGGCGGTGGTTGGGAGGATGATTTCCGATAGGGCGTAGAGGGAGTTGAGGCCATGCTGGGAGATCTGATTATATCATTAATATCGTTACGAGATTTGGAAGATAGGGGGCGGGGGAAAGAAGTAGTAGGTGGAGGAGGGGTGTTTACATTCTGCCATCCGCTGAATGTCACGGTGTACCAAGGGCCCGAGTAGAGGATTCCCCAGAAGACGACGGTCACGAGGAATGGGTAGGTAGTGACGGTGGTGTAGAAGAGGCCGTGGAGGGCGCGAAGGGCACGAGGCCAGCGGTCGAAGAGAACCGAGTGGCCCTTGAGTGCATAGCAGGCTGTGTGGATGGAGGCGAAGAGCATGTAGAAACCGATTCCCCAGTAGGTCAGCCAGGTGAAGTAGCTGAAGCTCTCGCCGATTTCTGCGCGGTCGCCATGAGTGCCGCTCCAGCCCCAGATGAAGAAGATGCTGGTGAAGATGTAGAGGGAGATGGTGCCGCGGAGGATGGCGTAGGGGAGGGGAGGGAGAAGCCAGGAGGTTTCGTAGACGTGGGCACGGTCTCGAGAGGGATCGACGTGGAGGAGGTCGTAGAGGGAGCGGTTTCTCAGTCGGTTCAGCATGTTGAGAGGGCTCCACGCTTTGGGCTTGGCTGTCGCGGTGTCGCGTGCAGACTATAGGGTAGTATAGTATAAGCGGTGATGATTAGGGTTGTGTGTTCAGTTGTTTCGTGGGGTGGTGATATACATGGGGATTTGCTCGATCTGGAGGGGTGAACAAAGCGCAAGGGACAACGCGACCAGAAATGTTTTACAGAGAGATTAGGTGGAAGGTTTGTCCTTTGTGTTCCTGTCAAAATTCACACGCCCCCTCCTCTTCACATTAGTATTCTTCTCCTTAACGACTGATCATCTCGAGTTGATTAGGCTCATGCTGCTAACACCTAAGCTTCGGCGGAGCGTCGCCGAAATACTCATTTAGTCGGCCTGCCGTGCGTCATGATTGGACAAACGGGAGTATGGTTGTCTCCGCTGCTCCTCCGTACCTCAATTAGCTCACGATAGGGAGAGTGGTCTGTGAGGTTGAAGAGATTTTTCATTCTCATTTTATTTGACTGCCCTTCCCATGGATGGAATCCGTTTTATGTCACTGGATGAGACATTCCAACGGCTGTCGGTTCCCTTGCGCTATTGCCAGCCACTGAGTGTCAGGAACAACATTGGCTGCAGCAACATCCCTGTTCAATATTTGGACTGCTAAGCAAGTAGATAGTAGTCAATCTTACGATAAGATCGAGCGGGGCTTCCTGCCGACATTCTCAGATTGCTCGGCAGTAAGCAGTTGGTGATACCAAGGGCTGACCCGTAAGGTTCAATATGGACTCAGATGAGTGTCAGCCTTGGATGGCCACGATGAGGACTAAATATGTACCTCAGGCAGCTGATATTATTACCATAAAGTATTGACGAGTCGATGTGGGTGTACTCCGTAGAAAAGTCTAAGAAGAAGCTGGTCGGAGGTCCAGCGGTAGAAATCCCCGATGCTCCAGTGTTTAAATTGTCGCACCAATCATCACCGGCAAGCGATCGTTTTAGACTGTTTGGCGTTCCCGCAACGTTGTGCCTGATTACGGACCAGCTGACAAAACGAGCACCTGCCCCGGGGCCAATTGTTGGGTCCTTAGGGAAGGGGACACGAAGAAAAGCATCATCAACACCATCGTCATCGAATAATGCTCATCCTTGGCGATGATGTGGGATGGCTAAGACTCCTTGACTCAGGCGTCCATGCTGAGGACGCGCACCCCCTCAAGGCGCGCCGCTCTTTTTAACCGAATGAACAATCTACAACATATTTCGCTCAACAATAACGAGTCCAAGTACTAACGAGAACGCAGTCGAATGAGACATTTGTTCCAGATGGTGATCATCTTGCCTCGGACTGGTTTTACTTTGGTTGTTACCAGCGATGAGGATGACGGAAAGAAGGTGGAAAACATCTACCCAGAATCTTAGACAAGATCTACCTCCTTGCACCACACAGACTGGCTGGCTAGTCAACGGGCGACTATCGCAATAACAACACTAGCCGGGAGGGCACCATGGCAGAAGCGAAACGAACGGCGGTCGTTGGAGCAACAAATGGTACCTGAGAGGAAAGAACCCATGGGACACGATGAACGAATCAGCAGCGGTTCTCAAGGTTGGGATACGAAAATTTGCAGGGGGTGGGAAGAAGCGAATATAAATAGCATCGCAGAGCCACGGTGCGGTTCAGACTCCACCGTCGACTCAGGCTGAACCACTAACCCGACAGACAGACTCACGATGGTCGAGAATGCTATTGCCCTTCTAGAAGCTGGTCAACCCCCGACGGACAGGCTTTCCCCGTGCAAGATAGAAAACTCTCTTTGGTACCTTTGGGGGAGTCCGGGCATCAATAATCATCGATAAAGCGAACAATAGTAATGCAAGCCCCTGACTTCGCCCCGGTAAAATAAAAACGAAAGGTAAAAGGTGTAAAGATCCGCCTGCAGTTGGGTGGATGCCAAGACCGAGGAACTGTCAGCTGTCCGGTATGGGTATGTAACGGGGAAACGGCAACCCCTGAAAGAATGGGCCTGTGGGCGGGTGTATGGCACTGTCTGGCACCAGCAAACAGGAGTGATTGGGGGGAAGACTGCATGGCACCCGTCGGTAATGGCGTTACCGTTCTTTTCTTCCCCTCCGCGTGGAGACGCCCAGAACGACGGTCCTTGTTTGGGGATCGTCAGGGCGTAAAGTAAAGTAAAGTAACGAAACCTCCTGCCTCGAACCTGATCAAATGGGCCAAAACGTCCTTCACACGCTCTTCCAGTTTCGCTCGCTTCAAACTCCCTCCTTCTTAGTCCCTTTTCCCATCTCTCTACCATTCCCCCCCCCGCCTCCCTCCCTCTCCCCTCTTTCTCTCTCTCTCTCTCTCCTCTCCGCGATGCCAGTTCATGGTCTCCTTGTGTGACGACTCTTGAACTGTCAACTAGTTGATTGTTCAACCGCCTCTCACTCCATACGACTAATATAGTGGTAGGGGCAAGTACTGACTATTATCCGCCGGGGAAAACCATCACTTTATCACACCACAACCCACACCAATTGGGTGCCGTTTCCCCTCCGGCTCTTTAGTACCGGCCTCACCCATCCACATCCATACACCTTCTACTATCTACTATCTAGTGTTCGGAACTGTTCGTTCGCGTCTTTTCTCTTCCACACCCTCTTGCTTATCTCCCTGGGGCTGTCATTCCTTTGTGTCTTCCGCCCCCTCCTTTTGTCCGCACTTGTCAGCTGTGCAGTGCTTCGAAGAACCGTTCTTGCGCGCCTCCGGCTTACCAGTGTGTGCAGAGCATCAAGCGCTGCCCGACTATTCCCCCCATTCCAACTCCCGTCATCCCACATTCTTCATGCAACGCGATTGAACAATCGAGCCCCTCGCCCGTCCACGGTGGCTAATGATTTGATCGATTAAGACCCTACGTGTGGTTCCTGTTTTGACCCCGGAAAACGAAACCGAACATCTCTTTATCTTCGAAACATTTCGAGGAATCCTGAATTATAACCATGGCCTCCCGGCCCAAATTTGATCACCGCTCTCCCTCCCACGACGTCCTTCGCAGCGGGGCTCCGTCTCCACGCATTGAGCACTATGATGGTGAAATCCCTCCAGCGCTCTCTCCACTCGATGCCTTCGCTGCTCAAGGTCGACTCCTTGCTCGTCAACTGGAGGAATCGGCACGGAGGAACCGGCGCATGAGCAGGCTGCCTCCGTCCAGCGTGGCTCGTTCGCTCTCGCAACCCCGTCCCGGCTATTTTCGATCCCCATCGTCGAGCGATTCTTCCACTGGCGCAAGAGGTCATGCTGGACGCAATGAACTGTCAAGACAACCTACGCAGAAGTTGAGCCCTGAGGTGGAGGAACCCAAATTTCGCCCGCAGTCTGAACATCCTCGTCTGAGTGCGGTGTCGCACCTGACCAGCGAAGTGGGAGATTACCCCGAGGAGGACGAAGACACGACTCCGAAAAAAGAGCCGAGCGTGAACGCCCTTGACCTGCCACGCGCCGAATCACCCGAGGATGCCATGTCCTCACACAGCGCACCCGAAGCTCCGCCGGAAGGCCCTCCTCGGTTCTATGCTGTCTCCCCCACTGGCCTTACTCCGGGTGGCCCGCCCCCTTCGCTGGGGGTCTCGATGGTGGCACCGTCTCGGACCTCTTCGACTGATTCTGTCTCTCGCTTGAACATCCCCCCACGAGGCCTAGCACCCCCGGGATCGCCACTGTCTAGGCCATCGAGTAGTTCTCGAGCAGTACAGCCCGAAAGCTCCGACGATGACTACAGCAGCTCGAATGCCGGGTCGACGTTCTCAAAGCCCCGGAAGATGTCCGCCAGTAGCGCCGTGTCACTGCCATACTCTTCGATGTCCTCGTCCATGACACGCTCGCATCCCCGATCGCCGTCTATGAGCTCCGAGACTTCGAACGCGGGCAATTACCTTCAACGGCCCTATAACTTTTCGCGTCCCTTGAGTCGGTCTAGCACCAGTCTCTCTGCCCCAGGTCCGAGGGCCTCGCCGGAACCGCCGGTTGCCAACTCGCAAGGCGCGCTCAATCGTGGACACAAGCCTAGTCCCATTGTGGTACCATCGCCATCGGACCTGCCCATCAACCCCAGTGAAGACCCGTCTTCTGCTGTTTCTTGCTACACCTATGCCAAGTACTCGCTGCCCCGGGGACGCGCGGTTTCGAGGGATTCGGTGGTCTTCTCCGGCCTCCAAACCCCTCATTTCGAGTGGCAGGAGCCTTTGTTCGAGAGCCCAACTCGGCACAGCACAGCGGGACCCCCGCAACCTGCAAGAACCCCGTCGCCTACCCCCTCCCTCCAGGCTTCAATCCACTCGAAGACGCGCTCAATGTATGAGTCTCCCGCTTCCGCTCGTCACTTGACTCCGGAGCCCCCTCTGCCTCAACAAACCCCGCCATCTCCGGAAGTCAGACCATCTCCAGCGATTCCTGCCGAGACTGAGACTGAGACTGAGCCTGAACCTGAGCCTTCTGTTGCGGAGCCCGCACCTATCGAGCCTGTGCCTACCGAGGTTGCTCCCACTGAAAATATTTCTACGGAACAACGGGAAGCAGAGGCCCCAAAGATAGACCACACCGATGCCACTTCCTCTGCAGGTTCTGAATCGACCGTTCGCCCGCAAACCGCGCGGACAAACACGACAACATCGGCTGTAATTACTGCGGATGAGCATGTGACCAAGGGTATCGAATGTCATGAGCGAGGGTCTTTGAATGAATCGACATATCACCTGCGCATTGCAGCCAAGCAGAACCATCCAACTGGAATGTTACTTTACGCGTTGGCTTGTCGACATGGCTGGGGTATGCGACCGAATCAGCGGGAGGGTGTACAGTGGTTGCGCAAGGCGGTGGATTCTGTTGGAATCGAATTGATGGACGATTCGAACCCGACCATTCCCGCTCGCGCCAAGGAGCTACAGAAGGCTTATCGAGCGCAGTTTGCCTTGAGTATCTACGAGCTTGGAGTAAGCCATCTGAACGGATGGGGTATCGAACAGGACAAGTCCCTGGCCTTGCGTTGCTTCGAGATCGCGGGCCAATGGGGCGACGGCGATGCCCTAGCGGAGGCCGGTTTCTGCTACGCCGAAGGTATTGGATGCAAGAAGGACCTGAAGAAAGCGGCGAAATTCTACCGGCAGGCGGAAGCGAAGGGCATCAGTATGGTTGGGAACAGTTGGTAAGTTGCTCCACCGGCTCGGCTATGGTTGGGGTGGGTCTAACCCTGCTTTGATAGGATCTACAAGGACAAGTACATGGACGAGGAGTCCAGCTCGAACTCGCGTGGTCGGGGCCAGCCTGGCAGTACTCCCGAGAAGAAACAGCGCAGCAAATCCCGAACCCGCAGTCTTTTCCATCGCAAAAAGTCGGTTGCAACTGAAGCATAGTCGGTTGTGCAGTCCCCTCGTGGTCGACCCGAGGGCCTGTTTGCATCCGCCATCTCGTCAGCAAAAAGAAAAGCGAAAGGCTTGTTCTGCATTTGGTCTTGGCATGAATTCCCATTGATACTTCTGTCTTTCCTCGACCATTCAGTGTCTCTGGTCAGTATCAACACGCACATTGTGCTGCCGATTGAGGAAGACTTTTCTATTCTACTTCGTTTCATTCGTTTGGACCCATCCGTGGGTTGCCGCTCTTCCATTTTCTTTGCTTTTCCTTTTCCCCTTCTCATTTCGCGCTATTTATTCGCACCTTTCCTTTTTCTCCTTGAGCAGGCCTTGCTAGCTGCTCCACCTTTTGGATCATCGGGTCAAGTGGCTTCTCGCTTGACGTCTCGTCCCAATTTGCGGGCAGCGATATTCGTTTCTTGGATACCCATCATTTTCGAATCACTGTGTGATATTTCTTTTCTTCTCTTTTGGAATACAAACACTATTTCCCCCACCCTTCGTTCTGTGGTTCTTCCCTTCATAACCATTTTCATTTCTCCACTTGTTTTTTCTTACTTCATCTTCCCGTGGACGCTCGTCCATGTTCGATCGTTGGGATTCTCTTCCATTCCTTTCTTTCTTTAACTCCTGTAATATCATTCTTTCCATTTCTTCTTAGAGATAGCCGTGTGTTTGTGTCGACCGAGATCATACCTGATGATACTCACGAGGAATTGCTACATAATCGGATGTTCATCCATCATTGATGGATAGAGTTTTGGACATGCTTCTGGATACCTCAGCCTTTGAGAAGTTAGTAGTAATTGCTGTTCCAGCGTGATCAAATTGAGTCCTCCAGTGGCGACGAACCACCCGGGGTCAGAAGTGACAAAGACAATTAGTCACCCGCAATTTAGTGTCCAGCTAGGGAAGAATAGCTTTTTGCTCTTGGTGAGTGAGATTATTGGGGGGGAAAGGGTAAGCAAGTCCTGAACTAGCACAACGGACTATTCAGTAGTTGGATCACCGGGTGGCTTGGCTGGAGACCAACTAACCAACTAAGCGGGGAAACAGGCAAATACCTTCCCCCCTCCTTCCGGCCTCAGCTTGAACTCGAGGAAAGAAATTAGAGCAAGACGGAGTATGCAATAACAACTATAGCACGAATGCACCAGAACTCCGGGCTGACCGTCGCGACCGGCTCGGTTGATTGGCAGGCGATATTAAACCCCGGGAGTTCATTAGCTCAAGCCCAAGTCAGGCCATTGGCCGGTGCTCGAGCGCAGTCCACGGAGAATTGGCCCAAAGTAGAGAAAGAGTGGCGATGGGATGCAGACCTGATGACCCAAACAGGAAGAGAGCCAGCCTTAGCTCGACCTTCTGGCATCGCGCCGGCATTTGGTCCCACCCCAAAGCTGCCCTGATCGTCCGGGGGAAATTGGGGGGTTGCATTAGCCCTTCACACTTCAGCATGCTCCGGCTGTCCTCCTGCGCCCTCCTGCTCCTCCTCCTCCTTCTCCTCTTCCTTCTCGTGCGCCTCCTCCAATCACTCGCAGCGGGATGATGCGATGGCTCACCTCTTGCCTCGGTTCACGTACATCTTCAATCAGGATTTGCAGGTGCAAATCATCAATCATGAACAATGCCTGATCTAACCTACCCACTGTACGGCTGAGGAAAAAAAGTATGTGTGCGACTGTGTGTAGCTCCACGCGATCTCAAGCTGGCCATGGTCCTTGCGCGGGGCCGGACCTAATGGATCTTGTTCTCATTATCTGGATCGTCCTCCCGCATACTGGGTCCTGGCATGGCGTCCCTCTGGTGGCTCGCCCCTCAACCTACGCCGTTACACTTCCTATCTACTAGGGCCAGTAGCGGCATGTTTCGTCCGCGCCGTCTCAAGCCTGGTTGTACACTAGTATGACCCGCGGTGTGCAGACCTGATCGACTATCGAGGTTGCTGAAATTGGACATGTGATGGTCTCAGCTTTTCTTAGTTTTTTTTCCCTCTCTTTCTTCCCGGGACATCTAGAAGATATATCTAGCTACCTAGCGTTCAGGCAGGGGGGTTTAGACCCTGTTGTTTCCTTTTTCCTTCGTCCTGGCTGATTGTGGGTTCTTCTCCTCTCCTCTCCTCCCTTGCTTCCCTTGATTCGGTCTCCTGGGTTCCGTGGTCATTCTTCAACCCTATCAATCGTCGGTCTTGCATATCACTTGCCCGTCACTTGACCTCGACCAGACTGGTGGGTATGTATCTTAGCTACTGTCGCACCATGGTGGCCGAATATATAGCACTTCCCATCGTACCCGCCAGTCCGTTGCTGACCTCATTGCAGCTTGTCTACTTCAATCAAGTCTCTAAGTCCTCGGATCCGTCTCTGTGTAGAGACAATCCTTGTGCTAGCCATCCCACATTCCTCGGTCCGGTCCTCACGGAAGGAGAAGCCCCCGCCATTGTCACACCGACATCATCGGTACATTGTGTCTGAGGAGAGGTTCAGTACGACCTGAAATAGCGGCGCATTACAAGCAAGATGGCCGGTGACAGCAAGCCTGAAGTGATCGAAAGTGCTAATGTGGCCGCGGCCACAGCCAAGCCTAGCTTTGGGGCCCGCGTGGCTAGGCACTTCAAGCGATGGTGGTGGGTGTACATCATCGCCTTGATCGTGATTGTTCTTGTAGTGGTGCTTCCTGTGTAAGTTTGCTCTCGCGGCAAAAGATGCCTTCCCCCAATCCATATCCATTTCCTGGTCTCCGGCTTACATGACATGTTTCGGAAAACAGAGTCTATGTCGCATACCCCAAGGAGGCTCAACATATCGTCAATGACTCCAACTTGACTGTCACATCGATGATTATCAGTGACCCCTCGCCTTCATCCTTCGACCTCCACCAGCTACAGGTTATTGGATCCAACAGCTCTTTCCACCCGACCTTCTACTCCTTCTCGGCAGCCATCAGCCTGCTGGGATCCGCCGTCTTCACTCACGTTCAGGTTCCCCAGTTCAACGGCCACAATGGCGTTGTCATCGATGTCAACCAGCGTGCGAACCTGACCAACGAAACGGCATTCGCCGAGTTCTGCAAGGCCGCCATCATGAACGAGCAGTTCCCTCTCAACGTCTACGGCAAGCCCCAGTTAAAAGAGGGAAGCCTACCCAAGACCACTGTGACCTACAACAAGACCGCCATGGTGACAGGTATGCTCGCCCATTCCCCATATATTACAATTGACTCTCACAGCCCACTGACTCATACTTACCGGTCTAGGCCTTAACAAGCTCTCCGGCTTTGACCTCGTGGACATGTCAATTGGAACCAACAACACAGACGGCACCAACGCCAAAGGAACCGTCTACATCCCCAACCCCTCCGACATCAGCATCGCCGTGGTATGCAATTCCCCCAACCTCCCTCCAATTCGCCATACCAGTATCCCAACTAACCCCACATCCTACAGGGCAACCTAACCCTCAACCTGGAAGTCAACAACACCGACATCGGCCAGGCCTTCATCTACGACCTCACCATTAAACCAGGCAACAACACCGTCCCCATGACCGCCAACGTCAGCACCCTCACCGTCGCCAGCATGCTAGGCAACTACCCAGACTACATGATTCCCATCGACATCACCGGCAACTCAAGCATCTACAACAACCAGCCCCTCCTCTACATTGAAGAAGCGCTGGCATCGCTCAAACTGCAGGTTCAATTGAACGTGACGCAGGCATTGGGCGGTTAATCCAGCCAGTCAGTCTTGCCTTCAAAATAAAAGTCTGTATTTTTGCTTTTACGGACTGATGGATCTTATATCTCTTGTTGAGAATATATATGAGACATGCGTGTTATGTGGAGGGTTGATGGTCTGTTCTCTGTTTATATATGGCCTATTTACTGCTTACGATGATGTGATTCCCATGTTGCTTTTTCTGGAGGGATGGACGGATGGAGGGATGAGAGCTGGACTTGTGTCATCGTTGGTTTGGTTGAGGTAGGTAGGTAATCGTCACTTAGCATAGTATAGTATATTTAGTATATGTAATAATCTATGATATAATCTTCTAACTTCGTTATTTTCTTCTAGGATATGATGACTAGTAGAAATGATGGATGGAAATGTGAAACAAAGGATGCGATGGGTAAGTAGGTAAGTAAACAAATAATTGTCGCGGATGCACAGACACTGCTTAGTACTTGTTACTGCATAGTACTACCTAAGTACATGGTGAAACCCACCCCCCCTGTGAAAAGGGAGGGGCTTATCAATGAATGCAACGATTGTCTCATCTTCCCCAGCTGGGATGCTTAAGCGAGATAATTTGTTTTGTTCCCAACAAGCCATAAGAATGTCGTTCTTCTTTTTATTGTTCTCTTTTTCACTTGCTTTCTTTCTTCTGAATAATCAATCAATCAAAATAACAATGGCTAAACAAACAGAATCAGTCACGTGTGCCTCCTTTTGGATGCCTCCCCTGGTATAACTTTTTGGCCTTTGTTTTTCTTCGTCTTGACACTCTCTTACTTTCCCTTAAACAAACAAAAACCCCCGATCTTGACTATACTGACAATGAGATAGGAAGGAAAACTACATGTCATGCAAGGTGTTATACCCCGTTTCAATCAGACTTCGCGGTCCCCGCGCGTCGCCTCCAATATGCCAGTAGAATAGCCCGCCCAGCTTCATTTTCGTGACGAATTTCGCCTTCTGCTGGACTGTTTGGGGCGTGTCGTATGTGACAAACCCGCCATCACCGCCTACGCAGTATGCTGCTCCCAGACTGCTGTCGTGATGCTCCTTGGCTCCCGGTCGCGGCAGCTGGCTATAGTCGAAGACGCCGTCTTCACCGCCACAGCCTACGTACCGCTGACCAACTCCACTGCTACCCAGGAACGAGCGGCCATACGCGGGGATGCCGAGAAGTAACTTCTTCGGATCGACGCCCTGGTTGAGTATGTATGAGATGGAGTTTTGGCAAGAAATCGCTGCGGGATGCTTGCTGAAGAGCTGGGCTTGA